AAATTGAACATTCCGTATTATTCAATTTTCTCACAGAGTAATTATTATTAAGCCCTATGCAAAAAGTATATGCGATTAGGTTTGTAAAGCCAGTTTTATGCAATTAACACTTTTCTATTAATGTCTAAATTCGATTTATTTAATTTTTAAAATATTGTAATGAATTTAGTGCGCTGTGGGAGTAGGTCATGGGTGCACATGCCTGCTCAATAATAATAATGATAATTGGCTAAATTGCGACATGTCGAAACTTTGTTCTGTTGCTGTCAGAGCTGTAGCGAAAGTCCTGCGACAGGATATCTACTTAAGTGCTTAAGCACGTATTCGTGTGTGCATTTTGTTTGACTAGTGTGCGTAGCATATGTAAATTTTTGGCTAATTAAAATTAGCATATTCCCTTTGGCTTCGTATGGCGCTACAGGATGTGGGCACGGTCTGCGTTGTCGGTAGGATACAAAAACGGGAAAGAAAACAGAAACAAACATGTATATTTCCAACAGGCCGCAGATTGAATACCCTCTTGTACGACTTTGTGGATGCGGCTGATTGCTTTTACAGAGATAAGCAAACGAAACAGTTATGCAAAGTTCCGAGACTGGGAGATTAGTGGATACAGAAACAGATGGATGAACAGACGAACATAACTTGATTTGGTCGACAGATCCAGACTGGACCCAGAATATATGTACATACCTTTTGAGTAGAAGATATTCGCCTTAGTGTTACATACATCATGACAACGTGATGAGACCCTCTGCATGGTTATAAAAAAAAATGCCTCGCGTTGCCAGCTGATTAAAAGGAAAAGCTAACAAGCGTTTGCTCTTTGCCTGCGGCTCTTCGTGTCATTTGTGTGCGCCACATTAGAATCATAAAACTTTATAGAAACATTTTTTTTGTTATTTCACGTTTGTTGTTAGTTGTTGTCCTTGCGTTGAGATGAGCTTCTGAGCGCGTATTATGTTTTTTAATTAAATTGTTGCCTGCTTTTTATGACCACATACAAACGTGTGTGTGTGTATTAAAGTGTGTAAAATTACATTATTACAGTTTTAAAATTTTCGGCACAAATTTAACTGATAATTATAATTTAATGCTGCGAATGCGCATCGATTGCAAGGAAGCCTTTAATTATGATAATTAATAAAAGACTTGTCTGAATATTAATTGCGCATACGCCCCGTTGACTAGACTACATAAAAATTGCTGAAAAGCGCATAAATAATTCTGCTGAAATTACACAGCGATTTTTGACTGAGTTCACTTGAATTGCTGAATCTGATTCGCGTGGTTTTTGGTTTTGGGGTTTTACTTTGCGACTTAAACTGTCTGCATTTTATATTTCGAATGGGCCCCAATATAAATTTGAATAGTTGTATTCATAGACATATGTCGAAATTTCATATAGACAATACAACTTGTGATATCATTTATTGAAAATAAGAGAGAAGAGTGCCGTAAATTCAGGATCAATAATAGTGTAATTTTGATTGATTGTATACATAATTTATCTTTAATTTTTATAATCTTTTGATATTAATATTTATTACATTTTATAATATGAAAAGTGTATTTGAAGTAGATGTAATCGACCTAATGAAAGCACATTGGAACCTATCAAAATCTATACTATAAATAATAACAGCATTTTCCATAGAAGGCAGCTTGTGTTCACGTTGTTTAATCCAATGTCGCATCAAGCTTTCGATTTCAGCATATATAAGACCTTCAAGTCAAAGAAAACTATATGCTTTAGAAAGTTAATGTGGCTTCCACATTTAAGTAGCTATTCAGAAAATTCAGCTACCTTGTGCGTGGCTTATTGTTAATTGCCGGAAGTGCGAACGCACAGGTCTCCAGGCCTCGGACTCGGGACGCCGTGGTGCTTACGACCGCAGAACCATGAATAGATTTGCATTTTAAATGTGTGCAACAGCAGCAGCTTTCGGCTTTTATTTGTGCTCCTTTTACTTATTTAAGCGGTGGTGGCCTTTGTAAATACTTGTATAAAAAAAAATACGTATATATGAAATAAAAAAAAAGAAGCTAGACGGAAGGCTGGTTTGGGTTAGGGGTCAGTTCCTTTTGATTTTATTTTTATTTTATTTTTTTGGGGGCAGTTCACACTAAATTTGACTTTATACGCAGAGATGTTCTTAGGTTAAATGGTGCAGAAGCGCTGTCAACTGTTGACTGACCTAAGTAAAGTTAAAAAATGTATATGTATGGCATTTCTAAATGTTTATAAATGCCACATTTAGTGGGTGTGTGTGTGTGTGGGCTGACTCAAGAGTCTCGCTCGAGCACAGCCCAAATGCCAAATGTTATTTACTTTTTTTTTTGTTTTCGCAGCCAGCAAATAAATGTCAAGCTTCAAAAAAAGGCAACAACAGAAATATACTTATAAATAAATAAAATAAAAATTGCCATGCAATATTCTTATTTTTTATATTTCCTTGCGCTTGACAGCCTTGCATTAGCCTGAAGTTTTGAGGGCAAAAGTGTCAGCAAAATAAATGCATAAATAAGGATCAGTGCGTCAATCTACAATGACATTTTAACTTCTACCATGCCACGCCCAAAGCGCCCTTATTGCTTACCCAGTCAAAAAGTCAATGCTGAAAAATATTCAATATTAGAGTCGAGCAGCAGCAGCAGGCGCAGGGCACGGGGAGTTGCAGTCGGGAGCAGCATAAAAAATGCGCACTCCTCCATTATTAAAGTGTGTGCTCTCATGCTTGATAAATTGTAGCTGAGCTTTTGCTTGAAGGATTTGCTGCAGCTCTGGTGTGAAAATGTCTTATGCTTCGGGGGCTGCCATGCATATAAGACAGACAGCGAGACAGACTGCCAGACAGCCATACAGACTGTGAGACAGTCAGACATTCAGTCAGATGTATCAAACAGTCTGGCAGCTGGCATTTCTCTATGGAAATTCACAGCTAAGAATTTGCACTGCTTTACGCACTGCTTGACTGGGCAGAATATAAGGCAGACAAAAAATCATAGCATACTTTTTAGCGCATTTTTTGGTAGCAGTTCATATTAACTTAGGAGTTAATAGCTAATTGCACTTTGAGTCGAATTGGCTGTGATTTTTTCTAACTATATTGGGCTGGCAAAGCTAAGTGTACGCTGACAAATAAAAAACAATAGAGTCAAATACGGCAAGCTCCCAAAAACAGCTGTGGCCATTGTTCTCGGCTTGGCGTTCAGATTTCTCAGTTGCCATATTTCACATTTTTTTGTTTTGGTTGCTTTTGTTGTTACCCTGTGGGTGCATTTTTTATGCTACGCTTTATACAGATTCCCTGTGTGACTCTGTGCGTGTGCGTGTGCGTATGACTGTGTGTGTGTGTGTGCTATGCAGCCATAAATCTGCGCATCCAGCATGGTTTGAATTGTTGTTGTTTTTGTCATTGACAACACTCTGAGAGCCGCAGCAGTGCATTGTCATGTAGCTTACATGCCAAGATTTACGTTGCGCCTTTCTTTTTTTTATTTTTTATTCCCTTGCAGAAGGTATTATAATGCAGCATGTATCAAGCATTGAAAGCGGCATTTCCGACATAAAAATATATTTGTACGCATAATAGAAAATGTTTCAAATGCCTATCAACTTTGAACAGTAGTTGTTCGCCTTCAGGAATTTCCTCTTTCACAATCGTTTTGTTTTTTTTTTTTTGTGAATAATTGTTTTTTTTTTTTTTTATTTTCTACAATGTCTGCCTAAAGAGTGAAATTTCTTATTTGAGAGAAGGTTAATGGAACTTGATTTTGATAAAATTTCAAACGGTAAATCGCGATACATTTTATTTAAGTTATATATAAAATTAAGCAAAATAATAAGAATAGAGAAAATTAAGTTCACATATATCTGAATTACAAGATCTCTATCAGTTTGAGCAAAATGCCTGTTAGGTAATTTAACTGTTTTCAATCCTTACAAAGTAATTCTTACTTGTTGTTTTTCTTACTTAACCAGTCGAACGTTGCTTAAGAAAATACTTTGCCAGTCCCTGGGAGATAAGATGTTTTTGCAGCTGCCGAATGCCATAAAGAAAACCCGTTGCTGGGAAAAGATTTCACATCAATTCATTTATTGTAAAATACGCTGGCTATGGCCAGTATTTTTCTTCTTCTTTTGAGTCGCTTAATATGTAACGTACATAAAATTAATGTATACAGGTATATGTATATATAGATATATATATATATATATATATACTTACACAGGCATATATATTTATATGTGTATATATATATTTAGTTGTTGCTTGACCAGGACTTAAGCTAGCTGCAACTTTTATTATTATTGTTATTAATAATATATTTTTGTATTTATTTGTATTTTTTGGTATATGCAAGACTGCAGAAAATAGTTGGTTTTTGTTATTATTATTTTTTATTTTTCGTTTTTTTTGTTTTTTGTGAGGGGTTTTATTTTTGCTCTCGTTATCTTTGGCATATACGTTGGTTGTTGCATGAGTGAAAATGAGAGAGTTAAGCTGAATCTTTTGTATTGGGAGCTAAGCAAGCATGAATAGGATCTGATAGCTGATAACATTTATAATACAACAATTACAAATACCAACTGTTAAATTACCATTAGGACTATACTTAATGACTGTTTCAAGTCTACACAATGTACTTGATATGGACGCTTAAATTGTAAACACTAGAGCATACAGACAGCACACAAAGTTTCTCATAAAAATGCATTCAAGAGAAATAATCATATTTTGAAGAATTTTCGCTTTGTGTGTGTGCGACTGTTTTGACATTTAAGTATATATTATTATTTGTCTGAGATGCCTACACTTAAGACTGGCTTTTGACTTAGAGCTAATGTTATTATGGAAATAACTGCAAGACATACACGCACTTATATTTGTTTTGCTCATGATATATGCCCAAATAGAGGAGAGTTTTCTTTACATCATTTTTTTTTTTTTTTTAGTTTGTTTTTTAATGTGTTTGAGTGTTGGGCTTGGAGTCGTCGAGATTTTTGTATCAAATTTGAGCTGCGCGAACTTATGCCTCTATGAGATCTGCTGAAAGACAAAACAAATATGTACGGGTTGCATATTTCCATGGACAAGATACTCTCTATAGCTAGATTAACTAGATTACGCATACGCCTAGTGTACTCTATTGTTAAGCACTTTCTCTTTTATGTTTGTTTTCCTTCCATTTTATTTGACGAGGCTAATAAGCTCCATTGATATAGTATTAACTACAACTTAGACAAGAATTTAGCTATTTACAAAAGAAACACGCACCACAACTACCCTAACTTGCCGCCTGCTCTGCTCGCCGAGTTTCTTTATGGTAATTTTTTACACATATATATTTAAGTTTTATTTTTTTTTTTTGCGCGTTTCACACGCACGCACTCCAAACTATAGTAGGCATGGCTCTGGTGGTTCACTGTAGCTGTTTAGCTGGTTTCGGCAGCTGTTGGCTTACGCCTGCGCAGCGGCAACGAACTGCACCACAGTGTTTGGCCGTGTGCTCGGCACGACAGTTTTCGTTGTTGTTGTTGTTGGTGTCGTGCCAGCAGATGCTGATTTAGTTGTTGTTGCTGCTGCCGCCACTGTAGGCGCCTCATTGCCATTGCTCGGCGCACATTCATCGCTGGGCCGCCGCTTGACCAGCATTTGGCTTGACCTGACCGCAATCCATTCGTTGCGGCCGGCATCAAACCAAGTTAGGCCAAGATTGTAGCGCCCATTGAGATTGGCGTGCTGGCAATGAGAGAACCACCAGCCACCCTCATAGTTAGCAGCACAGTGCGTCTGTGATATATCGCGATCATCGTCAATGGCCGAGAATTGCATGCCCTGCTGATAGTTGAGCGCATCGGATGCATTCCCACTATACTCGCCAATATGCAGTCTATAGCCATCCGAGCGAGATGAGATATAGAAATGCTTATACTCAGCCACCCAATTGTTGTCATAGATGTCCTGCATATGCACGCGCAGCTGGGTGCAGTTGTTCAGCGTCAGATGATGCAGCTGCTCATTGCCAATCCAATACTCGCCGCCCGGTGTGCCAAAGCCCTGGGCATAGTCCGCCCAGGAACGATTAAAATCGGCGCTGCCATCAAAGCGACGCTGCACTGTCGTCCAGCCATCCGCGTTGCAGTGCGTCATCAGCGGATGATGCTGCCCAGCGGGCGCTATTAAGTGCAGGCCATCCACTTGCGTTGACAGCTCGCTGCAGTCCTGCGGCAGTTTATTCACAATCGCCTCATACTGGGCCTCGACGTTCTCCAATTCGGCGACCAACGTTTCGGCCAGCTCATTATCCGTTCTCAGATCTGTCAATCCTTGCGGCTGCTGCGGCTTCTGATGATGTGGACGCTTGTGCGGCTTGTTGAGGTGTGAAAGCTGTGGGTGACAAAAGAAAATAAAGTAAATATGTTTACATGCCGGAAATCGAGCGCAATTTTCTTAAAATTAAACAAATAAAACGATTGCAAAGCGAAGTTTTGAAAACTTATGGCATTGAGTTAGGTTAGCGTTTCCAGATGTAATTATATATACTATCGGCATCGAAGATAGGTCTGCCGATTATTGAGTGTATCGATTAATCATCAATAAATACTGTTTAGCTGTAGCCCTAGTCAAAGTCAAGTTGACTATATGCTGTTGCGACTTCTTACCTTGTTGTGCAGCTCGTCGTTAACAAGGGATTGTATGCGATCCACATTCGTTTGCAGCTGGTCGACATTGCTGACCAGCTTCTTGACACCCTCACGCTCGTCCTGCAGCACGCTGACGCTTACGGCCATGGCCTGCAGGGAGCGTGCCGCATTTTTGTTCTCCTCGCGCACCAAATTCTGCTCGGAGCTGATTTGCGCATTGGCAAACTCCAGCTTGGATATCTCGTGGCGCAGCTCTGGTATGCTTTTGTCCATTTTACTCTGCAGCCCCTCGACGTCCTCCAGCAGCTCCAGCATCGAGGTGTGCAGCTTGTCCAGCGTCGCAATCTGACGGCTCAAATTGAAATTGGCATTCGCGATGCGATGCTGCTCCAGCTCAATGCTGCGCACCCGCTCGTCAATGTGATGGTACTTCAGCTCGTTCACCTGCCGGCGCAGGCTGCGCTGTGCTAGCTGCAGGCTGTGTATCTGCTGCTGCTGGAAGCGGCAATGGCGGCGTCTATGGTCGGCCAGTTCGCTGCTCGACATCGACCGTGACTGCAAATGGAAATGGAAATGGAATGTGTGCTTGGGATTAGTTTGATATGCTCAAGTTGCGTGTAAAGTCGCTTAAAGCATTCACTTAAGCACTTTTGCCTGATACCCTTTTGCGTTTGATAGAAACTAGGTATGTTGGCTTGGTGGGAATTTATGATACAGGCAGAAGGAGGCGCCCCGTAATATATGCCGATTTTATAGTTAACTTTATTTCATATTATCGATAACTTTCCGTCTTTCGTATGTATCAAGAGATTATGATTCAAGGTACCTGTAAATGGCTTTAAGTTTAACTAGATTCTAAATTGCGCTTGTACAGGGTATCGCCTGGTCGTGCGCTCGCGACTGGAGCTCTTTTGTTTGGTTTGTCCTCGTTGTCGTTGTCTTGGCGCACTTGTAATATGCATGTGTACAGAATTATGTGCAGGGAATTGAATCCTAAATCCATTTATAATAAATGCATTTCATAACGCACCGCAGCAGTGCCATACAACTTTGCCACAAATACACGCACACACACACACACACACACACACATACATATACAGATTGAGGACTTACAAGGATGAAAGGCGTGTACAACAATAATGTCAGCGACAGCAACGCGCTAAATCCCTGGCGTTGAGTGTGTATGTGTGGGTGTGCGAGTGTTTATGCATGTGCGTCTGTGTGTGCATAGACACGCCCACAGACACACACACACATGGACATTAACCTAAGGCAACTTGGCAGCTGTCTATGTTAGCCTAAAAAAAAAGTGTGTAAGTAGGGTATATAAGCTACTTAATCGACATTTTTATTTTTTAGTTTTAAATAGTTGGATAAGAAATGCTTATTGGGGGTTGTATGCCGATAAAAAAAATTCTAGAAAATTCTATTAATCTCTTCTCTCAAAGTTAAATACAAATTTGGTGTTAAGGCACTTGTGACACGTCTACAGGGTATTAGCTAGTCGTGCACTCACTATTGCAGCACTCTTTCTTGTTCTTTCATAGATGCAGAGCACCATATAGTAATATAATTTATCTGAGTGACAAGCGTTAACCAAGGTAATGTCATTTGGGTCACATTTGTGATTTGTGAATGCAAATGTAATGAATACACCAGCAGCATTGAAACGTATACAGATGTAGATACAGGTACAGATACAGATACACATAGAGATACAGGTGCAGATACAGATACATATACACGCAGATATAGCTATATACATTCCTGTAGCCTGCACGCTTCGCTAGCCTTTCATTAAAACAAGAAAAATGATAATAATTATAATATTTCGTATTCCATCCGAGCTTTTGTACATCCCCCAATTGAAATGTCTCTCATAATTGCCTAATAAAGCAACTCTCAAATACGAAAGTAAAAGAAATATGTTGCTAATGAATAAAAGTAGACGAAAATGTGAAAAGTGAAGAAGTGAATAGCTACTTTTTTGCACACTGCTTAATTATGCGACACAGAAATGAAAACAAAAAGCTATTGCGATGGCAACAAGAGACAGAGACAGATAGAGAGAGAGAGAGAGATAGATTATAGAGAGCGAAAGAGAACAAAAGTTGATTACAAGCTTATAAATCAAAACTTTTTAATACGCTTTTTGTTTTGTTACATTTACAATAACAAAACAGGCAGCTCCATTAATTCGTTATTATTAATAGATGACTTTTTTGTACTTGTTTTTTAGTTTTTTGATTCTAATAAATGGATCATCATTTCTAATCCATATATCATTCAAACATTTACATAGGTTTTTTGTAGAGTTCCCACTAGATTTATTTATAAATGGAAAACTATTTTTGGTATTTGAAATAATTGAAACCTGTTTTTATTGAGATCATCTTTCATTTAACTGCATTCTGATTTAGTTGTGATGTGTAAAATTTGGTAAAATATATTATATATTTTTGGGTATTATTAGGCGACTTGCTGAGTTTGTCAAAGATACGAAAAATGTTTAAAAATTATATTAATAACGGTCGGGTCCCAATTCCGAGCAGTTATGAAGGTTTATACATACATATATAAACAGAACAGCTTGGTAATGTCAACCCGAATGCGTTCGACATATTGTCACAATTATTTAAAATAAATATTTATTTTGTAAATATTTTTAGCACTTTCAATGGTTTTAAATTCAATTATTCAGATCTTTGCGAAAAATATGAGTTTTGCGAGCATGCCAAACTTGTGCTGCCAATCCAAGTGCGATTGAACGAAATTTTTCAGCTCCTGCTTATGTTTGCCTTGCCTCAACGCACGTCTTGACGGGGGGCAAGAATTTGCGAAGAGGTGGGTGAATGGGCCACTTGGCAAGGACGTTGTGCATGGTGAAAAAAAAGCGAGGAAGCGCCGTTTGCTGTTTTATGCGAAAGGTCACGCACATTGGTAATACGCCACGTTCGACAATGAGTCCAATATATATGCATATGTATACCTATATACTGCTAAAGTATATATATAAATTTATATGTGTTTAAATGTGTAGCTGAACAATGCAGGAAGTCGGCTGCGACTATCAAATAGGTGCTGCACGATTTACGGCGTGGCGACGTCAACAATATAATTAAATGTGATTTATGTGCTAACGTCCACTGCCCCCTCGCCCACTGTGCCGGCAGCCTTAACGTTTACCAATTAACAAACAGTCAAAGGACGAGGCCAAATAAACAATTTTAAAGACATCTTGTGGCAAGTGACAGCAGCGCTAATTGAAATCGAAATTGAAGCATAAATATTTTATGCACGTGTGTACGTCTGTGTGAGCGAGTGTGTGTGTGTGTTATAACAATTAAGAAATGCTAATCAGGCAAAACGAGCAGCCGCTGGGCTAATTAATTTTCAAAGCCGCACACACACATGACACACACACTTGACACTAACGCAAACACACACAGAAACAGAGACACACACATAAAATGCATAAACCGCTTGGGTCGCAGCAAGGATTAAAGTGAAATTTTACATGTTGTGCTCAAGTGAAGGCTAACAAGGATTTGCTATTAGCGTCAGCTATGCAGCAGCAGCGCTCTATGTGTGTGTGTGTCGGTGTGTGTATGTATGCATGTAAGTGTGTGTGTGTGTGTGCAGTGCAAATAGAAAAAAACCTCGCCGGCTGCTGCTGCTGCTCCGCGCTGAATTGTCGTAAAAATTTAATAGGACTTTTGTGTGCCGCTCAAAAAGTTACACACACACACACAGAGACTATAAGCGTGTATGTGTGTGTGTTCCTGTGCCACAAAATGCCATTAAGTTAATGCGCATTTAGGTGCCAACATTGGTTGGTTGGGAAAGCTTGCCTATTTTTTCATATATTTAATTTAAATTTTTTGTGTCCAAATGGCAAACGTGTGCAAAAATTGGAATATAGCGCGCGCACTTTTCGAACTAAGAATTTTAATCAAGAGAGTTGCTATAAAACTCAAGAGGCGCTTTCAAATTAACGAAAATTTGACAAACCAAGGTTCACGCAAATACCAAGCACAAAAGCACCGCAAACATAAATTTATGCATGCATGCAAATATGTACACATAAATATAGATGTTTACAAGCTGCGCCGCTTGGGAAACTTAGAAGCCCGACCGCCCGCCCAATAATAGAAACATGACGCACTGCCACACATATGAATCTCAAGTGTATGCCAAGTTTCAATAAAGATAATTTCGCTCATAAAATAAATATCAACTACGAGCACTGCACATGTATGTAAATGTAGACCCGAAATGAGGAAAAACAAAAAGGACAAAATATGTATGGCAACCAGAAAATACAAGCACTCCAACAATCAAACAAATTGCCAGCTGCAGCTGAGTAGCTGGAAGGTGGATATCGGTGGCAAGGAAAGTAACATAAAACAAAAGCCAGCACAAATATCAACATAAATAAGGTAAAATGCTGGAGCCCACTCGTGTGCTACGGAATACAACAAACCAGAGCAAAAAAAAAAATAAAGTAAAGAGAAACAGGAAAGAAAATCAGATAGCTTTCAGCTTTCGGATGAACACTAGATACCCTATAAAACATTTCCGTGATTAAATATATATATTAAATATATGCTATTTACTTGTTTTATTTGTATTCATGTGTTACTTTGTATTTATATTTGTGTGTATTTATTTATATTTATTTTTATTGATTTGTGCTCATATATATATTTTATTTATTTTTATTTATTTGAATACAATTATATGTATTTGTATTTCTATCCATTGATAGTTCCCATTTAAATCTATATATCATGCAGATAAAATATTTTTCAATAATTTATTTACAAAGGTGAGAAACTTTAGCCTTATCGACGCATCTCCTAATGTTGATCATGAATATATATGTTTCAACACATAACTGTCTTTCTTTGCCACAATATTGGAATACCCTCTGCAAGTGATACTCTAATAAATCCAAAAAATACATTTTTTTTGGTCTCTTGCGCCCGAAACCGGATCCTCTTGTCTTGCCGATGGCTGCTGCTGTCTGTTGCTGTCTGATGCTGTTGCCTTCTACTCCTGTGCCTGGTTTTGTGTCTGTTCCGCATTTGTTTGCCTGGCTAATTTAACAGCAAGTTTCTCATACACGATATATGTTTACCCATATATTGCCAGTTGCCACTACTGCTGCTGCTGGGGCTTTTGCTTTTCTTTGGACGCCCCAATGCTGGCAACAGTCGCATCAATAACCAATGATAAATATTTGCGTTCAACTGTTGCTAGTGACAGCTTCCATCATGCGATTTGTTATGCCAGCCTTCAGCTCGAGCTCGAGTTCGAGTCCTTGTGTGTCTGTTATCATCTCGTAGTACAGCATTTCGCTTTGTTATAAATCTGCACACATTGCAATTAGAACATCATTTTTTTTTTTTTTGTATGTGCTTGGGTTCAATTTACGGGCCAGGCAACTTGTCACTGGCAGCTGCTCCTTCTTGATGTTGCCAACAGTCAGTTCTGGGCCTAGGCCAGTTGAAAGGTCTTGCCATCAATTCGAGTTCAATTAGTATCAGGCAATTCGACTAAGTGCCAGCCAGCAGCATCAAATAAACATATACAACGGCAAACCAGCAACCGGCAACCGAAGAGGCTTTTACAGTCAGCTTCTCATAGCTGTCAGAATGATTGGCAATTACCGCAACCCCTGCCATGTCCGATACCCAAATAAATATTGTCCCCAATTTAAAGTTGTCTTGATACAAATTCTTTTATCAGTTAAATAAGTTGTTCAAGCAACTTGATAGACGGTTTTCGGGTGGCCTAAAGTCTATAAAAGCTGACTACTTAGTACAAAAGTTGGGGCGGGGCGCAGTCATTGTCTGTGAACATTTGTCCTTTTTTCGTCATAAAATAAATATAAATAAAAGCAGCACTTCTACAATTTGTTTGAAAGTTTAAGCCGAACTGTTTGAACTGAACTTTCAGCTGCTTTGAAACTGTTTCTAAAACCGACTTTAACTAGTTAAAGCTTTCTTTTATATTATTTCAGACTACAACCTAATTATTTTCTATAAATAAAATTGGCTGGAACTTCCATACATACTTTATCAACACTGCTTGAATTTAGTGTTGAGTCACGCCCAAATTGGTTTTATATCATTTTATTCCCATTTTATTCCCATTTGATCATAAGCTCAAAAAATGTAATTCAATTCGAACTAGTGTATCTGTAAACCATTTAAGACCCGTTTATTTTTTAATTCCGCTTTATGCGCCAACAATATACTCATGCATGTACGTTTTTATATAGCGCTAACCAACACTGAAATTCAATTGTAAGCCTTGCGCTTCTTCTAATTTAGTTCTTTCAAAGCATTCCATTGGGGTTTTTTGGGCAACATTTTTGTGCAATTCACTTGCTTTCCTTTTTTTCGGTTTTTTTTTTAACTTTTAATCAAATTAGGGACAGCTGATTTAATTTAAACATACACGCACACACACACACACATACACACACACTGACAGAATTTTTTGTTAAATTTATTTTTATGCATATTTTTGCGGCCACCTGCGCAATTTGATTGTTGTGCCATGCGCTTTGTTCTAATTTAATCTAATTTCTGCTTTGCTGCGCTTTTATGATAACAATTTTTAAGAATTGCTTTTTCTTTTGTTTTAAGTTTATTATTTTTTTTGTCTAGAGGTAGGAACAACAACTGGTGTTTGCTGTTGGTCCCTGCTCGGGTGCCGCTGTCCGTGAGTGAAATTTGGTGGGAAATATGGCATTAAAAAAATAAGCAAAATAAATAAAAAAAACAACAGCAACAGAAAAAACCTAAAAAATTATGAAAAGGATCAAATTGTGCTGAAGCATTGCGCGCATCATAAACGCACACCAACACACAACAAATACATGTATAAAACTGATTATCAAGGCACTCAAGAGCATCTGCTGTTGGCTGGCCAAAATAGGGACCTGTGCTAGGGGCCCAAAGTTGTTGGCCAGACAAAAGACAGCAGCCGTCACTGGTCTCTGACAGCGCAGCTGGCGTTGTATACCAATTTCTGCACCCCTCCCGCCCCCACTCCTTCCCATCAGTCCACCACTTTGTATCTCCCTATCTCTTTGCCACTGAAACGCTGAGGGCGATTAAAAGGTGATTTCCTGCTTTTTGTTTGCAATTTTTAGCAATTTCATTCTATATACAAAAAGTACGAGGCGTGCCCTTTAACATTATATTAATGTGTGTATGTCGAGTGTGTGTGTGCGTGTGTATGTTTCTGTGTGTGTGCTTTCGCCTGCACTCCAACAGATTCGAGTGCGTTTGTTGTGAAAGCCGCTTAAACCGCCTGACTGCACGTTTTATCGTTTTCATCGGTTTTATTGGTTTTGTTTGCCCTTTTTTTATTTTTTATTTTTTTAAAGCAATTTGTGGTCAAAATTTTTAGTGGCTGCTTGTGAATGTAATTGCTTTGTGTGCTCAACGAGGTTCACTTTTCAATCAACTAGCATTGGGGAGAGGTGAGCAGGCGGGAGCCAGCCAGCTACTACCCTAAGCTAGCAAATTTTCGGCTAAGCATGTTCTCTGACCAGTTCGAAAACTTCAAGGCAAAAGGGCAGCAGCTACTTGTAACTTATAAAATATTACAGGCGAGCAGCCTGAGGAGTGCTGAGGTGGGTCAAGCAGAAAACATATGGCTTTAAACCAGTTTTTATTTTTTATTTTTTTTGCATACTTTCTTTGGCAACCGCATGAATATGGACGTCACTTAATCCTTTTAATGAAGCACAACGTTCCAATTTTTTAGCATTGTTATACTCGCTCACAAAGTAGAGAGAGTTTACTGATTTTGTGAGAACTTATGCTTGGAATATGTTATGTTTAATATGAGAAATATCTATATCTTTCACAATTGGAGTGGAAAACTGTTAATAGACTCTAAATCAAAAGAAGTTAAATATACATTTTTTTCTTGAACTTGTGAAATTCCTTCTCCTTAAATCTGATATAGGGCCGCGTACGGGCATTATGCAGTCGGTTAAAACCAACCGCAACGTGTTGTCTTTGTTTTTGTTGTGGTTTTATGTTATGCACCGCTCGCATTTTGTCCGCCCATCTCTGGGACACATTTTGCGGCTTTACCTGTTGATTGTGCTCAAATATCTCTGTAGTTTGTTTGCAAAATGTACAAAAAGAAAGACAGAAAAGGTCTACTTGGCTCAAAATTTGATGTGCTTGGTCAACAGATATGCTTTTTAGTTAATCGAAAACCAGGTAACCTAAGGCTTGTTAAAGTGTTGTGAATACATGAAAAGTGCTGTAAGCAAAATATCAAGTCAGCCGAGCTTTGAGATTTATTATTTTGACTTAATACAAAATAAGTCTCGCTTTAAGCTTTTTTGTCAAAATAAGGCAACATTTTACGCCTTATGAGCAATAGCAAAAAGCAAGCTTAGAGCAAATTTTTGCAAAACTATTTTATCTTAAAACTATTTGGTAAAACAGAAACTAAACTTTCTGTGCATGCAAACTCTTTGAACAAAATGGCATTGTTTGGGCATAATTAGCAATTTTTTGGCTGCACTTTGAGCCTTGAAAACCAATCCTAAGCATGCCTTTTACTCTTGCATTGCAAACTTTAGTGTTTAGTAATTTACAAAAACTAACAGCACTGTTTGCTGTTTAACATATCAATTAGACAGCACTGAACTGTTATTGCACTGTTAAAGCGAGTTTTCCACTTTACAGCACTATTTACATTTGATGCCAGCAGCTGCATTATGTTGCGTAATACGTCAAAAGACAATTTTAAACTAGTTTGTAACACTGTTTACGACTTAATGCCAAAAGTGGCAACCTTTTGCCAATTTTCATCGCATGCTTGAGCATCATTTTATATAGCTACTGCTTTTTAGCTACAGGGTATTCGGCCGTATGCCCTTGAACATTTAATTTAACTTTCACTTTTGCCTTGCGCATTTTATTGACTTTAATTATAATTAAAAGTTGTTAGCATGTTGTTGCTCAGTCTGCGTTGTCTGCGATTTGCCTGACCTTAATGTTAATGATTCAGTTAGGTCGGGAAGACAGGAGCGGTTAACAATGGGGACTGTAGTCTGCGTAGCCTAAGTGGTTGCCCGGGGCGAGGCGTTGGCATTAAATATTAAATATGTTGACGTCCTGCGGTGCGTATGAGTAATTTAAGCAGCATATGAGGCGCCATTAAAAAGTAAGAACACCCACAAACACACAGAGAGAGTACTCCACTCGGCTTGGGCACTCGGCTCGTTAGCACATCGTGTCTCAGATGGCGCCTACTAAAAACGAGAGTCGCCCCCACAAAACAAAAAAACACGGGCAGCTATGGCAGTCAGGTATAAAATAAGGCATAAAATGGGCAGATAATGGCAATGGGGCGGCAGGGACCAGGCTGCCGGCGCGACGGGTCGCTTTATGAGCGCACTTAAAACGGCAGCAACAAAAGCAACATTTCAAAGCCATAAAAGCTGAAGCACACCACCTGAGCGTACATGTGTGTGTGTGCGTGTGTGTGAGTGCGTGCTTATCTGATCATTAGCATAAAGTTGGCCGACAGTCAGGTACTACAGTATGTTAGTATGTGTGTGTTTACTCACCTCTTGGCTGGCTTCCTGACTGCTGCTATTCTCCTCAATGCTGGCCGACTGCTCTACTGTCTGCTGCTTGACAATTGCATTGGAATTGGCTTTGGCTATGGCCTTGGCATTTAGCTGCCTGTTCAGCTCGTGCTTGTATTCCTGCTCCTGCTGCAGCAGCTCCTCGCGCAACTCCTGCACAATCACCTCGGTTTGCTGTTGCCGCTCCCGCTGGGCGGCCAGCTCGAGTTTTAGTTGCTGATAATCGTTGCGTATTGTTGCCAGATCCTCGTAGGCGGTGCCCTCATGTCGCACATCCTTGGCAACATTGGCGGCAGTGCGCTGCAGCTCCACCAGTTGTTTGCGTATCTCCGATATCGACTGCTGCAGCCACTCGACGGTCAGGCGCTCCTTGTTGCCGCTGTGCGTGGCGCGCAGCGTTTCCATTTCGCGTCTGTTATATGCAAAGAACATGTAAAGAGAGCAGCAAAAAGAGAATTAGCATATTTTTTAAACCGTCCAAACGTATTTTGTAGTTGGCATGTTTAATTAGCCAGCCAGCTGGTGGGCCGCAACGGCGGCGGTGGCCGAGGCGACGACGACGGCATGAATATGCAGCGAGCACACGGCGTATGCGTAACATTTTAATTGACTTTGAAACGGGCAACGTGCGCTGTGGTGCTGCGTTGGCAGAATCTAATTTAAATTGACATTTTCTGGCTAGCGGATGGCTTAATTGCCTGTGTGTCCAAAAGCAGCGAGTTAATGGGATCGGGATAGAGCGTGAGGCTTACATGAGAAAGCAGCGTCATTTTCATGCAGTTTTTCAATTAGGCACGTTTAATGGCGTTGTTTAAGCCTTTACAATAAACTCGTGCCTATGCAAAACTCTCGCAACTCTCGCCAAATAACTGCCAAAACAATTTCACACGCACGCACTTAGAAATCACAGTCAGAGTCAACTGCAATTCACCAAACGAAGTAGGAGGGAAAAAAATATAAAACTTTGCCACCACTTTACAAACGAAAAACCGAAGAACAAGAAACATGAACAACAAGTGCGAGAGCATGAGAAAATATTGTTCAAATGTAGCAAAATAAATTTTGCTTAGCCCAAAAAACACAAAACAAACAAAAACAGTGGAAAATAAAATTGTTTTAGCACTTGTGGCAGTTGGCAGGCCAGCCTCAAAGCTTGAGCGCATTTTTGTGGCATTTCAGACAATTAAAGTAGTCAGTCGGAACAGCTGAAGGCAACCACTTGCAAAGTGTGAGAACGTGAGAGAGCGTGCTGAACGGCCAAGGGGGGGAGAGGTGGGACGGAAGGGGGAGCGGGGGGGTGTCTTTCAAGTTCTGCTGCGCCCCACTCTATCACAAAGAAAACTTTTTTTCGGAGGCTGCTGCCACAGCTGTTGCCCCTACTGCTTCCCCTACTGCTGCTCCTACTGCTGCCCCTACTGCTATTTTATTTTTCACTGTCAAAAGAGCAAAGCTACATGAAATTTTCATAAAAAACTTTTTCGTTCTACAACATTTTGGTTGGCAATGTTGCGTATACGTAATATTTCAATTTGCGTGCGGCTGACTTATGCACGCGTGCATCTGTGTGTGTGTGTGCGCGTTTGGTGCATGTGTGTGTGTGTGTACACTGTAAATTTGACGACTTGAGAAGTTTTTCTGGTTTTTAACTACACGCTCAGTTACAGCTGACTTGAGCGAGCAAAAAGTTGGTTAGTTTTTATAATTATTTAAGTAGGGGAGCATTTAATTTAAAAAATCTGCTACTTCTTGTTAAACTGTTAGCAATTATTAGATTATTAATAAGATAAGTTAGTTAGTTGTGCTCGCTTGTGGCTTGTGAAAGAATCAGCTCCATTTGCATGGCCAAATATTATTTTGCAAATACAAGACTATTTTTGTATTTTTTGCGGACAAATACATTTAACATTTTATTCAAATTGTAAAGCTTTTTTTGACAAAAATGTGTATTCAAATGTTTCCAAATGGAAAGCCAAATACTATTATATTTGGGGATATTTATTTTTGTTTTTTTTGTAACATTTGTAGACATATACCAAAAAATATTTTTGCACAATTTTTGAATAAATATTTTGTTACATGTTTTTATATGCAAGGCCAAATATTATTACATGTGAAGAAAAAAGCTTTTATTAAATTTTCTTTAAGTCTATGAAAATGTGAAATCAGAAATAATTCGGTGCTTCAAAATTTATTTTAAATTCTCATTTTTGATTAAAAATAAAAACCTTGAAATATTTTATTCTATTATGAGCTTTATCTGACCGACAACACACAAGGTTTAGAGAACAACATCTATAAACAATAAATGGCATTCATGTTCGATCAATTGTTACAAAACAAAATTTAATTTATGCCAAGGATAAAAACTAAAATTCTTAAAATATATTTTAATATATTGCTATGCAATTTAAATTTGCTGCACAACCAATTTTTGGACAGCATTCGTTGGCTCGTTTACATGTCAAAGCTCAATTTATCTAAACATTTGATAGTAAAACTAAAATGAAAATAAAAAGAAAGTCAACTATTGTGCGCTCTACGCAGCACACAAAAGCAACTACGAAATTTGCACAATTTTTCGCATGGCTGCAACAGTATATTTTTGCTGCGCTCTTTTCATTTTTTGCACCTTTTGTAAACAACGATGAAAGCCAAATAAAATAAAGAAGAGAGCGCAGCACACGTCATTCAGTAAAAATTGGAAATTCTGTCAATGACATGAGGCAAATTGAAAACACGCAGGCAAAAAAAAAAGAGGACGACTGGCTGGCTCTGAAGAAAATTCGATGTGTGTGCGGGTGTGAATGTATGGTGTGTGTTGGGAAAAATTGTGAGCGCTGCGCGCACATTTTAATTATCAAATGGAAGCTGCAATGGGAAATGCGCTGAATGCCTCATCAAATTTAGACCAAATCAGTAGCGGCAAATGGCTGCCAGTTAAATGGATTACAGCAGTAGAAGCTGCACCCCTTCACCCCTTCCCACACCCTATCCATGCATATGTCCCTACGCAGAGGTCTGGCTCGTGCCGCAATCAAATAACGACTTAGTGGAGCGCAAGGGGGCACGGGAATCACATAAACCATAGTTGACATGACGTTTGACTGGCCCTGGCGACTTGTGTGTGTGTGTGTGTCTCAGCACACACGCGTGTGTTGAATTATTTACGGTGTCAGTGACAAAGTTTACGACGTTCACGACATGAGCAAACAGCAACAAAAAAGCTGCGAAACTAACCAAAGCTATTTGTACAGTAAATTAAGTGAGCGCCATTTTTGTTGGCCTTTGCTCTAGATCAACAGCGGTGTGTGTGCGTGCGTTCGTGTGTGTGTGCGTGTGTATGTGCGTGTGTCTCTGTCGATGAGACAATCATTATTAGTCAGCCAGTCTGCAAAGACAACGACAAACAAATCGAAAAGAAACTCGGGGCTTGGCTTGGCCTAGGCCTGGAAATCAGAAATCATCTACGTGCCGACCTCCCAGCGATTTCTTATCAAATGTTAAGCTGCTTAAGGAACTGGATTTTGGACAGTTTCTTATTTGTTTAAATTAACTTGCGACAAATACAAATAAAGCAAACCCAGAAATGGCAACGAAGCTCCAAATGCCCTTGCACACAATTGGCAGATGGGACTTATAGATAATGCGGAATTATTTATTGATAATTGCAAACAGATATATATTCGATAAAGTCATGCGATTTTGATTGGATTTTAGTTCGATTTTAGATCTGATAAAGTGAGCTTATCCTGATAGGATATGTGTTCTTTGCAAATGAGTTAAAGATTTTTGAAGAAACAAAAGTTCTTATACTTTTACTTATCTTCCTATAAATTTTACTTTTGGTGAGTTTAGTTCATATTTTTTTATTAAACTTCTACCTAAACTATGTTAGCTATATATCGTTTAGATCGGACCTCTTCAATGACATGTGCTGTCTGTAGCAAAAAGAAGCATTTATATTATTTTTCATAAATTTGTGTTTAAATACTTATTAATTATTTATACTTTCAGTATTAATTTATATTAATTTATATAAATATGTGCGTAGATCTGAGCATTTGACGCATATTCAGTATTTATTAAAGATTAATAATTCATGAATATATTTTCTAAATTAATCAAGTTTCTTGACATATTTATATGACCAAAGTATTATGTATCATCATTTTAACCTTTTGACATTGCTTTGCATAAAAATTAAAAAATTAAATATGTATCTGCAAAGTTATTTTGTGCTATTTGTATGGCCATGCTGCCCGCTTAAGCGCACGGCAAAATGCCTGACAAACTAACAATACACTCGGTTAGTGTATTAAATGAAAGGAAACAAAAGAAAATCCAGCGAGGCGCAAAAGTGTTGCCTAATTCGAGGCGCTGCCAAATTGGCTGCCCGCGTCCGCACAAGACTCGCACATGTGGGGCTGTAAAAATTAGCAGAGACACGCCCACTAAATGAATGCACGCCTCTGGCCTAGCTGTTTGCCTGCCTGTGACAGACAGCATTACGAGTCGGAAAAAGTTTTTGTTGAACAACTTCAGCTGGAAGTTAAGCCAAGTTGGGCCAAGTAAGAGCCCAAGTTGCCAGCTGCAAGTTGTTGCAAGTCGCAAACGAATTGTGGGTCAGCATAAAAAATATGCTACAAAATAATGCAAGAAGCGAAAGAAGAAGAAAGCGAAGAAAGTTTTGCCCGCAATAAAGCTATCACTTTGCAACTCACCTCAATTGATCCAATTCGCTGCGCATATCCGCATCAACGCTGGCCGCATCCGTGGTGAGCCGCAGGGATTTGCGTAAATTATGCTCCAGCAATTCGTAATCCTCGCGCCGACGCATCATCAGCGCATTCAATTGCTTGGTCAGCAGGCGCACCTGATCGCCCAGCTTCTGATTATGCGGCACATCCTGCTGCTCGTCCTGCCCCTTGTTGCCCCCTAGCTGAACGCCATTCGAGAGCAGCTCCAGCTCCTCCTCATTATCCTCATCGTCGACAAAGCGCAGCAGCTCAACGCTGGATGGTGGCAATGTTGCAGCTGCAACTGGAGCCGAGCTGCTTGCCTTGGCATCGCGCAACATGTTGTTCACATCGCTGACGACGCCGCTGGTGGCGCCACGCGCGCTTGCCACCGCCAACGAGACGATCAAGAGTATCAAACGCAACATTTTGTAGCGGCACACACAAGCGCTGCGTATTCAAGTACAATTTTATTTGGCTTTACTTTAAATTCGAGTTAGAATTTGTGGTGGCACAGTTTTTAGTATTTTTGTGGCATGGATTATTTATGCAAATGTTGGCCACGTTTCATGACGGGCCACCTTATAAAATGCGGCGCTAACAATATTTGAATTATGCTCGGCGCCTTCTCTTGTGCTGCTTGCCGCACGTTTTGTTTAGCTCGCGCTGCTGTTTTGTTATTCGCCGCCGCCTCCTTCGCTAAGCGGCTTTAAGCACACAACACAAAAACACACGCACGCACGCACACTAAGACGACACGACTTAACTTCCCTTTGGGAAACAGTTTGTCTGACTTTCACTTGATTGGCTGCAGCTCGCTGCGTACGAAGCAATCGGCGCGACGTTTGTCATAGGACTAAAGCGGCGCGCAGCAGCTGCATCCTTTTATAGCCCGCCAGCCGCTGCCGACGCGTTGCGGCGTCGCTCAACTCAAAAGAGAGACAGACAGAGACAGAGAGAGAGAGAGCGAGAGAGCATGTGCCTGCCGAGTGTTTAAGCGAGCGAGCGCGCAAAGTGTGAATGATTCGTGCCTAGTTGAAGAGCATGCAACAAGCAGCCAAAACAGGTTGTCCCAGCAGGAACAACTCGACCAGTGCTAAGAGAGCGCCAAATGCGAAGGCGAGAGCGAGAGCGAGCGGGCACAAATTTAAGAGCGCATTTGCTTGGCTCGCACGCTCTTGATTGCCTGCAACTATGGCAACTATTGGCGTCTGTTTTGTAAGCAGCGCAGAACTATCGGTAATTGATAATAATTGTTGTTATGATAAACAATTATGTTTAATATATTTACTTAACCTTTGCTCTGCTACAAGCTCACGTGTCTTACCTTATTTTCTTTGCAGTTTTCTTCGGCTCTGGTGTGTGTCTTTCTGTGTGTATGTGTATGTTTTTGTGTATGTGTAGCCTTCTGTTTTATATCCTTCCGCATATCCTTCTGGCACATGGCGCGCCTGCGGTGAATCAACAAGCAACAGCAGCAGCAGCAGATGGTAGACCTTATGTGCTCGACCAGGTGAGTTTAAACGTGTGTGAGCGCGTGAAGATATTAAATGTACTTGATAAGTAAGGGTATCCGTAATAGGTATCAGATTTTTTTTATATTTCACTTAATAATAATTGGATTTGAATTTGTTTGCTCTCTTGTTTGCACAGTTTTGCAATAAAAGTATGATCTATTTTTATATAAATTTAATCTAATACGCAGTCTTGCAGTTATTTATAGAGTATCTACTAGTCACGCTCTGTCTACTATAGCATTCCTAGGTATTTTAAATTGTATGTATGTTTACATGGTGATATGATATAAAAAGGTTATCTTTTGGCACTTTAATTTTACTTTTAGAAATCAATTTAGTTTCAAAAAAATATTTTTATATAATTTCCAAGCTGTCATTCGAACAAACAGGTTAAAGAAACATGTAATATTGCTCTGGTAAAATAGGTACTGCACTTTATAAGCAAATGAATTTAAAAGTCATCTTGCACTACCCACACCACAAAGGGCCTCCGGGTAAGCTCGATGTTCGGGTAAAGCAATTCAACCTAACTCTAATCCTTTTAAAGTTTTTGTTATGCATACCTGTTAAAATTCAGATAACTAATTCTTCACGTTTTCCGCGTGATTCTCAGATGTTTTGAGAGGGACATTTAAACGCGCCCTCTCTCGATTTACTTTAGGAATACTTTGTTCGTCGACTTCACAATGTTATATCTTTATCTGCATCTTCTGCAGTTGCTCGAAAAACAATTTTTCACGTCTATTGGCGAATATTTTTGAGTTTTTGCCGAGTGCAACTTTTTGAATGCAGAACGCAAAAACTGAAAGTCATTTGGGCAAAACTAAAAGCTGAAACAGCTAAACCAAAAAAAAAAAAAAAAAACGCAACTGAATGAAGTTTATTTAGCGGCATTGTTGGCCAGAGTTGGTGTGGAATTTTCAGCATTTGTGCTGGGCCAGAATGGAATATGCGAAAAATGGCGCATTCGGTAGCCATGTGACGGGTGCGCGCACCTATAAACCACCAAGGAGCAGCCGGCGGGGGCAACTGGACGGACGCCGGGTGAACCCAAAAAACCAACCCATTCTGGGTGGTACGCTTCGCTGCACACAGCCAAAGGCGGATGCGGGGCGGCGGGCGATGCGGACTTGATGGCCATGTCGTGTTGGCCAGTTGCAACAGTTGCCACCTCTGCTCCTGCACTGCACTCCCCTCTCTCTTCCGCTGGCATTGTTGCCATTTTGTCTGCGCTTGTGTATTGCAATTTGCAATATTTTCGCTTTTATTTTTTAATGCAGCGTCTGTTGGGCTTGCCGCTTCGTTCACGAAGTTGGGCAGGGGGCAAAGTTGAGGGTCAGAGTGCTGACCAGCTACATCAATGGGCTTATAATCAACTGCCAGTGCCACATGAGTTGTTGTTGCTGTTGTTGTTGTTGTTGTTGTTGTTGTTGCTCTTATTGCTGCTGTTTGCATATATTTTAAGCGTTGCATGCAGTTTAGTTTTCCCTACTTTATTTTTAATTTCTGTTGCCTTTTGTTTTGTTGTCAATTTGCGGCGCGGTGTTCTAGCTTGTTGCACATTGCATTAATGCAGGCAACTCGTGCGGCTAACAGCGCATCCGGCAATTCCCCACATCCCAATATAACCAGCCAGGAACGCTAAGCCCCCCTACACTTGGGCGTGGTGGTGGTGATGGTGGTGGTTCTGCCCTTTCAACTCTGCAGCTTGCAACGCGTCAACTTGCAACTTGCTTCCATTTGCATTGAGCTCTGCGTGCTTTTTACCATTTCATTGTCGCCTGCTTCTTGCATTTGTTGCTGCTGTCTGTTTATATTGTTATTGTTATTGCTGGTTTTTATGGCGTTGTCTCTCTGCCTTATGCGGTTCACGTTATGGTCAGACCATATTAAGCTAATGGCCTGGAAGTAAACCTTCTGCCGTCTGCCTTCTGCCAGCTCGCCTCTACTGCGGCTGCTGTTGCTGCTGCTGCTGCTGCTGCTGCTGTTATTGTCGTTGCATTTAAGCCATTAACGCTCCACTTCGAGGTTGCGAGTACTTTTACATTTGAGTGTTTTAGAATTTTATACAAGCTACCTCAGCATGTATTCACAGCTGACAGACTGCATGTGTTGCCTCAAATAAATATTAATATTCATGCATTTAGTTTTATGGTTGGGAAAATGTTTAAAAGGAAACCTATTCAATTACATTTAAAATTAAATATGCATTTAATGTTAGTAATGTTGCCGTCTTCTCATTGAAAATAAAATATATTATTTCTTTTATTTTTATTGCCTACAAACTTTTTAACAAATTTTCAAAAGATTTGATTGTCCTTTCAAGTCTTAAAAAAAAAAATAAAAGAGTAGAAAAAAAAATGAAAAAAAAAAATTGTATTATATAAGAATATATATTGTATGTGTTACATATTCAAAAATATCCTGTGCCTAATACATCAAGTGATGTTTTACATCGAATAGTGGACACATAATATATCGCGCAGGTCTGTTCTGCTTTGTAGGGAAACTGATTTCTTTAATCTCATCAATAGCTAATCATATAAAAAATCTAGAAACGATTTTAAATATATTTTATATATATTCAAAAATTTTAGAGTAAATTAAATCATGTTTAATACCTTAAATCCGACTATATATGCTTGCCTATAATTTGCAATTCAAATATTTATGCCGTTTATCGCAATTAAAATAACAATCAATGCCTGGCAAAAGGTGCGCGCAAATTAGCGCAGGTGTTTTCGGAGCTGTTCTCGACTGTTTAGTGAGCTTGTTTTGATGAGGGTAAATCGCCCAGAGACGACTGTTGATTCTTTGCATATAAACATGCAGGCAGGCACAACTCACACACACACGCACAGTGGAACACGCGCACAGTTTGTTGACCAATTTGGGCCCGGCAACGCCTCGATACAAGCTGCAATGTGCGTGGACAGGTTTCTGGTTTCAAAGGCAAAAAAAAAAAAACGTAATACAAATACAAAACGCACGCGATGCGCCCGTCTACAGTTAACCAAAAAAGTATCTGCGCAGTCGCAGCTTGAAGGCTGCGCACTAATCATCTGGATGACAACAACACCAGCAACAATAACAACAACAGCTGAGCAATGCCAACCGGCTGCTGGCTAACGGCAGGTGCAAAAAATTTTTACCACTCAAACGAAAATTTCTTACCTGATTTAATCTTAGCCGCCGTTGCTTGCGTTTCGCTTCAACTTTTGTTCCATTGTCGGGTTGCCTTGTTCTTTGCCTACGTGTATTTTTGGTTGCCAAGGTTTCGTATTGCTCTTGTTGTTGTTGCCGTGGTTGTTGCTACTCCTGTTGTTGCTGTTGTTGCTGCTACTCCTGTTGTTGCTGCTGCAGTTTCTGGGTTTCATCGCTTGCTCCTTGGCATGGCATGTTGCCTGCATGCTTCGCTGCTCGCACACACATACACACTCACGCACAGACATACACACACAGCGTACTCTGATGATGTTATCACTCAAGGCTGTTGCTGCATGGCTGCTTCCAGTATATTTGTTTTTGTACTTTTGTTTTCTTGGCAACACCAACCCAGGCAACAGCAGCCGGCAGCCGGCAGCCAACAGACAGCAGGCACCAGGCACAAGCAGAGGCAGAGGCAGAGGCAGAGGCAGCTAGCGGCATCGAGTTTTGCTTTTAGCCAGAATTTTATGCTGCGTTCCCCTAATGAATGCCCCACGCGAATGCGAAACGCTGCCAACGCCTGACAGCTGCCTACACTGTGATAAAAAAAAAAAAAAAACAAAAAAAAAATAACAAAACATGCCGAAAAAAAAACACGTGAACCAATTGAAAAACCATAAAAATCCTTTAGCTATGGCACAGACTTTAGCTATGTGTGGTCGCTGGCTTCTGTGTGCGTGTGCATCTTTGTGTGAGTGTGTGCGTGTGTCAGTGTGTGTGTGTGTGTGTGTGTGTGTGTGTGTGTGTGTGTGTATGCGTACGTAGTCAGAGCCGCAG